TCCCCCCCCCCCCAAAAAAAATAAATAAATAAATAAATAAATAAATAACCCATCAAACAAACAGGCAATGGCTATTAGTGCAATGTAAAGAAGCATCAACCCATTCAAAAGCTTTATGCCTTTTCTTCTTTTTCTTGTTTTATTTAGGGGTGAGGCGTTTTAATGTCCCTATCGACATCATTCAGTATTTGTTCATTTTTGCCTAATGCTTCGTTTGGTATGATAAAAAAATGAAAGAATAAAAAATTAAAGGGATAAATAAAATATCATATTTGGTAAAAAAAAAAAAAGGAAATATGAAAAAAAAAAAAGGATTCATTTTTTTTCCAACTCACCAAAATCAATCCCTCTAAAATCGAAAGAAAAGTGAATGAAAAGTTAATTATTTGTGTTGATATGTTTCNAGGGATAAATAAAATATCATATTTGGTAAAAAAAAAAAGGAAATATGAAAAAATAGATGGATTCATTTTTTTTCCAACTCACCAAAATCAATCCCTCTAAAATCGAAAAAAAAGTGAATGAAAAGTTAATTATTTGTGTTGATATGTTTCTTATTTGTTTATATATCTTTTTATATATACGTATATTATGTATATAGTAATTTAATATAAAAATACAATAATAAAATATGTATTGATATATATATATATTTTTAAAAAATTTAAAAATAAATTTAAAAATAAAATAAATAAAAATAAAAATATTTTTTCTATGGATGAAAATTTTTGACTCAACACGATTCGAACTCGACACGAACTTGATTAACTCGAATACAAAAATAAAGAGGTTAACTCGTAACTCAACACGACACAATTAGTTAAATGAGTTGAGCCGGCACAAAAAAAAAATTGATCTTTTTTATTTTTCATTCATCCAACTAAACACAAATAAAGAAAAGTGTATCATTCTTACTTTCATTATTTAAAGGATAGAAAATGTATTCCACCTATTTTTCATTCTCCCTATTTTTCATCATTCCTACCAAACGGAGTATAAGGCTCGTGCATAGTCACGAGAGTTTAAAATTCACATCTATAAAACGTTGAACATAAGATATGAAGGTTATTCTTCCTTATGAACATGCAATGGTTTTGGTGCATTTGATTTTGTTTGTCAATAGCTTTAATGATAATCTCTTCTATTTTAAGCAAAACATGCAATTCTATTAAAGTACAGTCATTGGTTGTGATTTGGTACAATTTTTTTTTTTATATCTCAGTTGTCCCAGTAAATCACTTGCGATATTACGTTGCTCGCGTACCAAACTAATGTTAGACCTGTTAAATTTTTTGTGAAGTCTAATTTGTTTTTGATCCGAATGATGACCCAACGCGACCCGAAATAACGTTGACAGTGGATGAAAATCCACTTGGGGTGCAAATCACTGTATCTTTATCATCTACCGTAAACTAATCCTTGTTTTGCTATAAATATTAATCAATTGAATCTGTATCTTTAGTGGTTGTATGCAGATTTGTTTTTAATTGGAGTATGTATATTGACACGACAACCCTCGTTCAGTCGCTTGTCAGACATCTCTCGTGAAGTTGACTATACTGCAACATTGGTTAAGGTTGTAGGTGACAACATAGTAATAGGGGCTTGGCATTGAGTTGCTCAAATGTAAAACTAACTGTTGATGCATATATACAAGTTAGATAAAATTGTACGTCAAACGTCACCGAGAACTCTTTAGGCCTGTTTGTTATAAGGGTTTGGGCTGGTTTGAGATCATGGGTGGGGGAGTAAACCTTTTGGAAGTCATGTTTGGTACATACATATTTATTCCTGGGTTTGAAACCCAGCCCGTTAGGAGCCTGTGATTAAAACCCAAGTTCGTGGGTTTGAGGAAACCTAGGGAGGGGTGGGTTTCAAATTTGGATTTATGGGTTTATGGTATCAAATGATATTTATACCCTCGTTTATTTTATATACCCCATATTACCCCCATTCAGATATCTCTCTGAACTAACCTCCATCGCTCAACACAGACAAAAGATTCAATTGATTAAGGGGCAAAAAAGTTAAATATATACAAATATATTATTATAATAATAATAATAATATACCCTACGCGTACCAAACATAGACATGGATAGCATTAATCCCCTCAAATCCATCTTTGAATCTTATCTTTGGTCAAATTCGGGTTTAATCAATTCAATCCAAACTCTTCTCAAAAAACCATACCAATCAGCCTTTGTTCTTTTCATTATTCCTAGATATTTCTTAGGTAATCTGCTTTGAACCTTGTCGTTCTTAGTGTCTTTTCTCACGAGCCTAGAACTCTTGCTTGATTCTACTATCGCCGTACATTGAAAGAAAACAAAGAACACTGGCTAGAAAAGTTGGATGGTTCACACAAAGAATTTTGAGCATTGTAGCTTGAATGTCAAACTCACCCATTCTCTGGTGATCATGCCTCACATATATGTTGTTTGTATGTTGGGCCAATCCGGTTGATCTTCAAAGTTCATAAAGTATAAGTAAGGTATTCAAATTTTTGATTGGCCGTAATTTTCTACCCTATCTGATCTTATCCTACTCTATTGTACGACTAGTCATAAAAATCAGGTAAGAATGTAGAAGAATTTTTAGTCTTCCGATTAAATCGGGTAGAAATACAGAATACCCATCAATTTTTACATTTCTACCCTACCCTACCCGCAAAAAATATATTTAACTTTTTTATATTTTTTTAATAATTATAAGAGTATTTGTGTTGTATAATTTATATTATAATATTGTTATTGTTATATTATAACATTTTTTAATAGATGTTTACGTTACGAAAACATGAACTTATTTTTTATGTAAGTTACATGATTTGTGGTGAATTAATTATCTATTGGAACAATTATAATTTTAATGTGTTTCATATAATTCAAACTTAAAATAATTGTTATTGTATTTGTGTAACAATTATAATACATGTTACTTAAAATAATTCTTATGTTTCATTGTAATTATTGTTGCAATTGTTTTATGTTTTAGTGTTATTGATTTATTATATTGTTAAATTGATGCATGTTATTTAATTAACTTATTAAAATAATCCAAAAATTAATAACTACAAAAATATTTATCCGACTTCTTACCCGATTTCTTATCCAATTAATCGGATTAAAAATTAAGTAAAAATACCACACCTAACCTAATCGAGTAGAATAGACAAAAAAAAAAAATACTTGAAACAGACTCATCTACAAACTTTAAGTCTATTAGTAATTCTTTTCTTGTCTAATGTCCACTCATGTACAGGAACAAGAATGTGAGAAAGGAAAAAACAAAAAAAAAAAAACAAATAAATAATTAAATATAGATAATAATGCACTCTGATGGATCAGTTACTGTTAATCTAATAGAGACAGAGTTAATAACTGAGGTAATGGGGTAGCACAGTTTCAATATAATTGAAAAGAAAAAAAAAATACTCTGCCTCTCTGTCTCTCTCTCATAGATATACAAAAGGAAAAATCTAAAAAGAAGAGATCAGGTTCTTCTATCCCCAGTGGGGTATCACTTTCAAGGAATCAAATTCTCCCAACCCTTTTCACACAGGAGGAAGAAGACCCAAAACACACCCTAGTGGAGTTGTGTCCCAGATGATTCCTCCTCCCATACTACCCAAACTTGTACAATCACAAGCCTCTACCCCCGTCCCGACGTGGCAAAATCTCATCCACACATCATAAACCCACCCATCTCAGACCCTCAACCATAGCAAAGCTGAAAACAGAAGGGTTAGAGTCAAAGAGGAAAGCAAAGTTGTGGTGCTATGATGGAGGGTATCACTGCCACTGTTGTCTGTGCTGATGCCATTTCCTGAAGGGACAGGGCCAAAAGTTGGACCGCTCGGATTGCCTGGAAATGTGGTTGAGGGTGGTGTGATGGATGAATTGTTGTTTGATGGGGGGCCGTTGTTTGATGGGGGGGTGCTGGTTGATGGGGGGGTGTTGCTTGATGGAGGTGTGGTTGACGGTGTTCCTGCATTACTGAGAAAAATAGGAATGGCAACAACAATATCACTCTAAAATCATAATAAAGATGCACAATATAATATCAAAAGACAAATTATTGGTCACATCTCGTGCGTTAAATCCATCACACTTTACCTCCTTGTGCTTTAAGAACTTACGAATAACCATTCTTGTTTGGGATTAAACTGAAATTGTTAGAAATTCCATGAAAACCGACGATTGAAAGTCAAAAGACGACATTTTTAATAAAATAGCCTGTCAAGTGTGACTTTTACTCCTTTTTTATTAATTTAAGTAAAAAAATTTCAATTTGTATTACATTGTAGTGAGCCAAGGTGTTACTGACTTAAACCCATGCAGGAGATGTAAACTACAATTTTTCCCAATGTTAAACCCCAACAAAAAAGCAACCAAATGAAGAAAACAAAAGGAGACCTAACTTGAAATAAATATGATTACATGAAAGGAAAAACAGATGTCAAGCTAACATATGGAATCAGAATACTATAATGGCAAGGGAAAAAGGAAAAATAAAACACATGGAACATCAGCATCAAGACAGTTCATATCCGTCCCCATGAATAGGCTTGTTTCATTTTGATCCAAAAAAAAAAAAAAAAAAAACAGGCTTGTTTCATGAAATCAGAGTAAGAAACTAATATTGGAAATTTGGAATGGGACCTAGATCTGCTTTCCCAAATTACTGTCCAATAAAAGGGGAGACTCCAAATTTTTTTTGGGTAATGGAAACATCGATTATTACTTTTTATGGCAAAGTTATAATTTTACAAAAAAGAAATTATAACCGTTTAAGGGAAGGCATGATCGATCACAAACACTCATAATCGATTATGAACTCTCGGTATTGATCACACCTGATCACGACCTTTAAAATTGTAATTTATACCTTAAAAAATTATACTTTTCATTCCCCCCCCCAAAAAAAAAAAAATCATGATTCAACTTGAAGAGTTGGTCAAATATTAGGTCATTGTTCCAACTTCAAAACAACAGTTTTACTACAACTATGCTCAAGTAAAGTGACAGGTTTTACTCACCAAAAAAACCCCCAATTTTAAGTCCCAAATCTACAATTTATTTAGGTTGATTAAATGGGAAAATAAACTTCTATATAAAAGAGTATCCAATGGAAAGAAAGAGAACCAGATCCTCCTCCTTACAGAAACTTTCAACAAGCAAAAAGTAAGAGAATATAATTCTCAGACCAATACTAAAGCTATCCTTTTCCCTTTCTTTCCCATAGAAACTTGATTAAGGGAGAGATGAAATCAAAGCAGGAGCTAATATAGCACCATGTCTAAATCACAAGAGAGAAAAGGTTTAGGCAGTAAAAAAGGGGCTACCATGTCTAATATAGCACCAAAAATCTCCACAGAAAAAGGGTTCAACACTCCAAAATATGGAAAAAAAAATTCATCTGAAAAATGGGAACACACNGGGAAAAATCACAAGAGAGAAAAGGTTTAGGCAGTAAAAAAGGGGCTACCATGTCTAATATAGCACCAAAAATCTCCACAGAAAAAGGGTTCAACACTCCAAAATATGGAAAAAAAAATTCATCTGAAAAATGGGAACACACGAGATCTAGAAATGAAATCAAAGCAGGAGCTAAAAAGGGTACCTGGGACTTGATGGATAAACGCATGCAGAAGTTTGGCCTGTAAACCACCAAGAAAATAGAGAAAAATTACCACCCAGAAAGAGTGAGTACATATATATACACACACATATATACATATACATGTGTGTGTCTGTTGTTTTTTGTCGGGGGGGGGTGGTCTGTGAATCTAGAAGGCTTAACAGGGTGTTACCACTGGGGGGAGTTTGGCTTGGGGCTGCAGTGCCAGCAAAATCACAGCTCCCAGAAATTTGACCTTTCCTCTGAAAATAGCTGTTAACAGCATAGTTGCAGTGGTCTTTTACAGTGTTGGGGTTGTAACAAGGACCATTTTGAAGGATTGGAGAACAATCAGCTCCAGCTCCACAAGCATAATCTATGTTCTTCTGAAGGGCTGAGTCACCCATCCCACTATTACATATGCAATAGAGGGCACCTAAAAATAAGAAATCCACATAACACAAACAGATCAGCTCATCAAGATTCATTTTTTTCCTTATAAAAGGGTGAATGTGTCAGAAGAGAAAGCAAGGGAAAGGGGGAAAAATGAAAAAAAAAAAAAAAANTTCTGAAGGGCTGAGTCACCCATCCCACTATTACATATGCAATAGAGGGCACCTAAAAATAAGAAATCCACATAACACAAACAGATCAGCTCATCAAGATTCATTTTTTTCCTTATAAAAGGGAAAGGGGGAAAAATGAAAAAAAAAAAAAGACTTATTTTTTGAATCTTTTTACAGCCAGATTGAGATCCAACCCAGAAAACTTGAACGGAAAAAAAAATTGTCATCAAAAGCAAACTCTAAAGGCATGAGAAAGAGAAATAAAAACCCATCTCAAGGAAAAATACATATGATGACTGAACCCCTTTCCCTCAAATGATCAAAGGTTGAGACAGAGCTAATTAATATACGAAGATATAAAATTAGGAGAGCTTACTTGAATGNAATTGTCATCAAAAGCAAACTCTAAAGGCATGAGAAAGAGAAATAAAAACCCATCTCAAGGAAAAATACATTTGATGACTGAACCCCTTTCCCTCAAATGATCAAAGGTTGAGACAGAGCTAATTAATATACGAAGATATAAAATTAGGAGAGCTTACTTGAATGACCAGTCATGGCCAAGAAAAGTACTAAACACAGGACAAAATAAGCCATGATTGTGCAAAGATTGTGGGGGAACTTATGAGAAATTATGGCAGTGCTTCAAGAAGGCTGGATTAGCTTGAACACCTGGACAGAGAGAGAGAGAGCGGAGGTGTCGTTGGGAATGCAGATNTGTGGGGGAACTTATGAGAAATTATGGCAGTGCTTCAAGAAGGCTGGATGAGCTTGAACACCTGGACAGAGAGAGAGAGAGCGGAGGTGTCGTTGGGAATGCAGATTTCTAGACAACACAATATGAGAGTGACGGTGGGTGGTAATGGTGGGGGCCTATTTCTGATGTCTTTTTATATGTAAAAATCTCATTATTTATATATATTATNGAGAGAGAGAGAGCGGAGGTGTCGTTGGGAATGCAGATTTCTAGACAACACAATATGAGAGTGACGGTGGGTGGTAATGGTGGGGGCCTATTTCTGATGTCTTTTTATATGTAAAAATCTCATTATTTATATATATTATGTGGTACAGAGTCCTTTGGGGAACTGAGGAAGCTTTTTGTCATGTATTTGACTGCAGTGTACTACTACAATTACTAATATACATTCTCTGTGGCTTTCAAACGGTCATAAACTCATGTGCATGATCAGGACTTAACCCAACCAGGTTTACCTTTCCATCCAAACTGGTTTGAGGTTGGTGGATGACATGGCATGGCCCATCAAGGGAATGCTTCAGCCTCGCTTTCACTTCAATTAATTATCTCATTAATTTGATCAAAGGCAAAACATTTATATTAGAAATAAAAAATTTATAAAAAATAAATTAAGGAGATTATCAAATTGTAAGATTAAAATATCTAAATTTACAGCTTGTGTGTGTCTCCACCGGATTACCCATTAGATTATTTGATGTGGTTATGGTCTAAAAAATAAATTTTTAATATAATATTTTTATTTAGTAATTAATAAAATATTACATGAAAAAATTTATAAAGTTTTATTATTTTTTAGATAATAATTAAAAATTATTTAAATTAGAATCTACGATTATATTTAAATTCGACACCGACAACCATATAAGCCTTTTGTTATGTTCTGTCACCATGAACTAGCACTATGGTGGGTGNAGACGAAGAGGGGGTCAATGACATTTAACACCCCGAAAGATTCTTATATTTTTAAGGATTAATTGTACTATAGGTCCCTAAAGTATGAGATTTGTCTCATTTTAGTTCTTAATGTTTTAATTGTATCATTTTAATCTCTGAAATATTGAATATATTTTCATATGGTCCTTTGAACAAACAATGTCCAAATTGCTACCAATTTTTTATCATAAACTTGTCATGTAATAGTTAAATATGGATAAAAATAATTTTGATAGTTGTTAAACAAAATTTGAATAGCTCTTAACAAAAAAAATTGTAATATAGGTAGTTTTTGATCAAAATTTGAATTGTTCGTGATCAAAACTGTATAATTTAGGTAGGTATTTAACCAAAATTTGAGTAAAAATTTGATCAAGACTTATCCAAATTATTTTTTTATCTATATTTAAGTATCATATGACAATTTTATGATAAAAAATTGTTAGCAATCTGGACACTGTTTTTAAGAGTAACCATATAGAAACATATTCAATACTTCAGGGACCAAAATAATGTAATTAAAATATTGAGGNCACTATGGTGGGTGGCAGCAGCAGCTCATGACAGTGCATAACTCAGAATCCATGTATCTGTTTTTTTTTCAATCGAATATTGTCTCTTTTTTCTTATTTGAATCGAAAATCTTAATCATATATATATATCTTAAAATTTATGACTTTTACACGTAAATTTAGAATGACAGGAATACTTACAAATTATATATTCATCAAATCAATCAAAAAAATTAATAATGAGTCCGCTTTACACGCAGGTCTAATTCAGAATTATAGACCAAGTTTAGTTTAGAGGTCTAGCCCAAATATATAAATTAGGTCCAAAATCACAAACTAGGTCCATCTTAAATGTACGGGTCAAGTGTACCACGTGATGGAGGAAGGTAGACCAGGTTAGCTGAGGTATATTGAGGGAGTTAGGTTAATCGTGTCATCGNATCGTACCATATTCTTTCGTCTAATTCTTAGGTTATTCTTTTCATTCTCTACTAGATATATTCCGATATATTGAAAGATAAAATTGAAAATTATCTAAACTTTCCTTTTATGAAAAAGTAGAATATAAAGAAAACAACTTTAGAATTATATTAGAGTTAACTACTTATTTGACTCATAAAATATACTATTTGTGTCGATGAAACTCATGAATTATGTTTTATGTAAATTTTGGTCCTTCAACTACTTATTTGGTCCCACCTAAATGCGTTGTTAACTTTGATGNGAACACGCACGTTACCACCTCTATAGAATTATCTTACCTGTTATGAGAAGGGCATCACCTCTACCAAACTATCTCACCTAATACGAGAAAGAAGCCTCAATTTATTACAAGACACCTATAAATTATAAACTCCACATATACAAAAGGGGCATTTCACACGTGTCACTCATATTTGAACACTTTACACTCCTTAAAATAATAAAACACTCAAGTTATTGTAGTCTTTCATAGCGGAGTATGTCACTTTGATCGAACCATTTAAATTGTGTTTTGCTTGTATTAATTCTCATCATTTATTACTGCATTAAATACTTGACAGATGATATATAAACACATTTTGTATATCATCATTGATAATAATACTTAAACTCGGGGCATCTCCAAAGACATAAATTTTCATTGATGCAATTTATCATCCAAACTATTTAGCACATTAAAGAACTACATATCTTTCAAGCCAACCTGTATTTCTCACACTATTATTGATACAATGACTAAAAATGTCGATCTAATCAATTACGATTATTGATTTAATTATGAATCTCAATATCTATTAAGACCCACTATTGATTTAATAATTATGATTAATGCAACTTCTGATTATCATTAAATAATTTGGATTATATATTATAAGCATCTTACTTAACGAGTGGTCATTCCGCAAGCATGTGCCCATGTTTTCTTCCCATCGATTCTCAAGTCTCAACCCTTTGAGTAAAATATTGGATGTGACGCTAATATCACGCTATCGTTAATTTGGATTATGGTAAATTAACTAAATACGATTGTTAGATCCCGCTATTTTAACATAATATTTATTAGATGTGGAGATTATTATTAGTTATTAAAATAAGAGTTAATAAATTTTTTTGTACTTGAAGTATGCTCTTTTGTCAACTTGATCCTCAATGTATTAAGTTTTTGTAATTTCATCTCTTAAATATGTAATTCATGTTTAAACTAGGAATAACTTGTATCTGAAGGTACAATACAATGTAAACCTAGATTCTTAAAAAGGATGTTGGTAGTCGTTAAATGAGTCTATTTGAAATTAAAGATGTTCAAATTTTCGATTACCCATAAATTTCGACCTTAACTTATCGTATCCGACTCTATTGATCGCCAATCCGAAGGAATAAGATATGTTAACATAAGATTTTTTAGTATTCCATAAAATACACACACACACACGCGTGTGTGTGTGTGTTAATCATTAAAAATGTAAATTTAGAAACCCTAATTAATATTTTATTAATATTTATGACTTTTTTGTTGTGTTTTATTCTACTTTTTTATGTATTATCAAATTTATTATATTTTTTTAGTATTATTGGTTTAGTTAATTGATACAAATTACTTAATTAAATTGTTAAAATGATCCACAAATTAATAATTAAAAAATATGTGTTCACCGATTTCCTACTCAATTGTTTTAGACAGAATTCGTTGTAAGAATAGTACAATTGATCAGGTAGGGTAGACCAAAAATTTTTTTAGTAAAATATCGGGTAGGAAGATAAAATATTATAATTCTTACTTGTAGAATTGGGTGAACACCCCTATTTGAGATCATCGGATCGAATTATTGAAATTTGTCATATTTTATATTATAGATTATAGATGATTTTTGCATAGACGATCCGTTATATTTTTGACGAAAATGATCATATGACACCGTTTGAAAAAATGTTACATGGTCATTTATATCAAAAATTTAATGGCCTGTCCGTACAAGGATCATTTAAACATGAATTAAATACGTTAGAGACTAAATTGACAAAATTAATATATTGAAGATCGAACTAACAAAACGAACATACTTTAAAGACAAAAAAATAATATTAACCCATAAAATAATAAAATCCACTAGATTTATATGGAATTTTATAACCAATGGACACACTTATGTATCTATTCTTTTGCACCGGTTTAACCCCTTCCAATTGTAAGATAATTTTTTGAAAAGAAACGATAAGATAATCTTATTAATTAGAAGATGATACATCATTCTGAAGAGGAGTTAATAAGAAATCATGACACTCATCCCTCTATATACAATAATCTGAACAAAAAACAACACACTTAGCAAGACAATGAGCACTAGAATTTTCGTCCCTATTTTCCTAGGAAGCTAAGGAATCGATGAACTTTTTGTGCATATAACAGAATGTGATCTACAGTAGTGAATTTACTGCATCAATAACAACTTTAGAATCTCCTTCCAAAACAATCTGTTGGAACTTTGCTTCCACCGCCATTATTATCGCAACTGATGTCGCCATAGCCTTCACACTGTCATTCATCACTTAGGGCTCTCATTCATTCTTCTTGCAAATTCTCAACACAAATCCATCTTCAACATCCCGGACAACAATACCAATACCGGAGCAGCCTTCTTTCCTGTGCGTGCAAGATCCTGCACAATATAAAAAACGAGAACAGATCTCTCCCTTGGTGAACTTCGAGTGAGCAGGTTGAGTGACCAACCACATCGCTTGGAACAACCTGCGAGGTCCGGTGGTAACCTGGAATGGCAACGGGAGACCCTGGGTGAGAGGGAGGACGATCCTGCAAGGCTGAAAGAGGATCCTGGAACAAAGAAGAACAAGTTAGAAGGGCGCCGGAGTGTTTTCCGGCGTATCCCCTCCGACGGTCTAGTCAGTCTTTGAGTGAGAGAGAGGAAGGAGAAAACACTAAGGAAAATATACTGTAGTAGAGAGTTTGTGATTGCATACCCGTCTTGCCTTTTGCAAGGAGTATTTATACCTTAAAAGCTCATGATTGCTGTCAGTGTGGTCAGTAGGTGATCATTAGGTGCAGGTTGCGTGTGCATTGATTCCGATGAGGAATGTCTTCTCTAATTGACTGCTCGGGGTCCCGAACAATTAATGTCGAGTCGTCGGGATGCCGACGGTACAATATGCTCCTCTCGGGG